CCAGTAGTCCCAAATTAAACTTTTCATCTGCTCTTCTAATTTATACCTTCTCCGTTGTTCACACTCCCAGGGGATGGCAGTTCCCAGATGCTCAAACCAGAAACCTGAGTGTCATTCTGTACTCTGCGTTCCTCTCATCTTTCTCTCCCCCCATCTTTACCTAGTTCATTTCATTTTGTAATATCTTTTGAAATTGTCTATTTCTTTCTATCATCATTGCTACTACTAAAGTCAGTCCTCTGTTACGTGCGTGATTACCACGGTCTCCCTGCCTCCTGTCATGCTCTTTCTCGTTCCTCCTGGGATTCCCTATTACTTTCAGAATAAAGTCTAAACTCATGAATATGATTTCCAAGGGCCTGTATCATCTGTCTCCTGCTCACCTCTTCAGCCTATTCTATTGTCACTGTTCCTCTCCACCCCACTCCCCAACTCTGTGCGGCAGCCAGTCTGGCCACATTTGGATCCCTAAATGCAGCAATCCTGAAACTTTTTAGCACCTTCCATTTTCATGGAAGACAATTTTTCCATGTACCAGAGAGAAGGGGGATGATTTGGGGATGATTCAAGCACATTACATTTATTGTGCATTTTATTTTTATTACTACATTATAATGTGTAATGAAATAATTATACAACTCACCATAGGTTGGGAACCTCTGCCTAAATGTACTGTACTCTTGCCTGAACAAACACATACAGAAAGCATCCTCAAACAAATTAAATAAACTACCGAAGACAAACAAGCATAGACAGACTGAAAATAACCAAACCCACAAAAAAAAAAGAAATAAATAAATAAAAGAAACAACCAAAAACAAACTCCGAGCTAAGGGAAGTCAAGAGAGAGAGAGAGAGGTAGACATACCACAATTAATGCACTGCACCACTGGCCATCAAGGAGTAGGCTTTGTTGGAGGGGAGTTAGAGACCTGACTATAACACAATCCAGTTCATATAATGCAGGCACAGACCAAAGGCTTTAGAGGTTCATGGAAAAGACAGAGAACTCGAGGTTTCTAAGGAGGCATAATTCAGATATGGAACTTGATTAGACTTTGAAGGCTGGGCAAGACTCCAGCAGTAAGGGGAGGAGGGCTGGGAGTCAGCTTCCTGTCTTCCATACTTCAGAGTCAATACTGCCCATTTGGGGGAGGTAATTTTCACTAAAATATTGCTTCAATCATGCCATTTACTGACTCAGAGACACTGGATATTTTCTGCTTCCTCCAGTGTAACAGCCAAATTCTTCATAATTGGCCCCAACACACAGTTATTGTACTAGACGACTTTTAAGGTCATTTGCAAACCTGAGTCTATGATCATATAATTCTGCCATAATAGATTTACTCTCTACAGCTTCCCTACATGCCTCATATCTCTACCTCCTGGCTTTGCTGATACCAGTCTATTCTCTTGGATGTAGTTGGTTGTCTTCCTTTATTAAAATTTACCTTTATTTTAAGTTTTTTGTAAAAATCTCATATCAGACCAAAATATTTCTTGTCTCTGAACATTCAGAGCAATTACTATCATAGGATTTATTTGATAGTCACACGCACCCTTGGCATACTCTTCTGTTATTTGAATCTTTTATCATGTACGTGCATAGATAAGGATTAAGGGAATATGCAAAAATATTTCATCTAAAATATAACATTATGGATCCTTTTTCTCTGAATGTCTTCTAATGTACTCTTATTTTTACAAAAATTTAAATGTCCTGAGTAGATTTTCACGAACGTGCTGTTAATGTTAAATAAGTACTTTGAAATACTTTTGGTTTAATTATTATAGCAGATAGATGAATTATGATAAATGGTGTTTTCTAAGTAGGCATCTTATTTACTTTTTATTATGTTATTTTTAAAGTAACTTCACGTACCTAAATACATCATTAACAACAGTATGTTTGGACTTATGGGGCCAGTTGCTGCAGAAAGATTTTTTTTTTTTTAGATGGAAAGTAAGGGTAGCTTAGTATTTGTTCTAACTCTAATATTTGAGATTGGCTTATAAAATAAATCTATTATAATTTTCCTTCTGCGTATTCTTACAAGTGCATTATTTCATTGATGGAAACTGTCAGTGGACGCTCTATCTAGTTTAGCTAATAAGCTTTTGAGAGTAATGTTGCATCTCAAGGGGTCTTAGACCTAAAAGGAACCTAAGACACAGCTAGTTCAGTCCTTCACCCCGTCTCTTTGTCTCTGCTTCTGTGTGTCTGTCTCTTTCTTACAACACACCTATACACATTTTACAGCTGAGACACTAAACTCCATTTAGATCAAACTCTGTCCAGGGTAGCAAAGGAGTCATCAACAATCTCTGTGCCTTTTGTTTTATATTCAGCTTCTTTTCCCTTATGTGATTTTAAGGTGACCCATACATAATTTTAGGGTCCCCAGTTTGTCCAAAGCAAACACCTTTGGGTCTCTCATAATTCTGAAGTTATTACCACTTTATTGAAAACATTTCCCCTTAAAGAAAACCTTAAAACCCAATTATGATGCTTGGAAGAGATAACTGTAGCCCATGAAGAAGGCATGATCACATTCTTAGTTTTCCCGTTTATTCCTGGAAGGGAGGGAAGGCAGGAGGGCCCTGGAAAGGGGACATTTAGTGGAGAAAGAAAGGCAGGAAGAGATCTGAAGCACTAGGCAAGTAGTGCTGGAGACGCTTCGTGTGCCAGGGCATGGTGAGCAGCCAGAGGGCGGTGTGGACACACTGGATCCTGGGCACAGCCAGACATGAGCTTCGCCTCTCTCACAGCTTCATCTACAGAAACCTGAATAATGTAGATTTGGATTATTCAGGGAAATGACTGAAGAATGTCACAGTGATTGAGGGAATGAGCCATTTAACCAAAAGCTAGAAAAATAACAAAAAATGAGGAAGGAATAAAGAAGTTGAAATTATATAATAAATTACCAATTGAAAAACAAAAATACACACAAAATATCTTTAGCAAGCAAATGCTGTATGGCCTTTCACTGCCCACCCGCTGCCCACCCTTGCTTGAATTAGTATGTGGTTTTCATGAGTTTGAGTGAAGGAAAGCAGCTTAAATACATCAAAGGAGGTCATAAGGGACTGCTATTTCGAACACCTGTTCTATCCGTGGTGTTGATTTCTAACTTGCTACTGTACCATAACATTCCATCACTTTAAATAGTTGACTGATGGCTTTAGTCTACCTTTTCTCTATTTTAGGCTATTCCAATACCCAGCCCTACATTAAAGAGGGTTGAGTATTGCTGGTCTTGCAGCAATACTTTGGTTATTCCCAGAATAACCAAAATTAATTGTATTTTTTTTATATTGATAGGTGTTTACTCATGGAACCACAAAAAGAAAACCTACATTCTTTTGAGAGATGGAGTAACATATTGCTTAACTGTGTGGGCTCTGGAGTTAAACCGATGGAGTCATGTCTGGCTTTTAACCCTCTGTGCTCATGTGTAAACTGGGGCTTATAATAGCATCAACCTCATTGGACTTTCCATTTAACAGATGTTTGTCGAAGCCAGCTACGCGCCAGGTCCTTTGTAGGCCCCAGGGAAATAACAGACACAAACTGTAAATAAACTGTATAGTATGTTGGAAGGTGAAAAACGCCATAGAGAAAAAGCATGGTAAAGGGGACGAGAGTCCTGGAGGAAGGGAGGGATATAGTTTTACATAGGATGCTCAGGATAGACTTCACCACAAAGGTAAAAATGAAGACGTTAGGAGTCACGTAGACGTACGGGGGAGGTAGATTCTGTGGACAGCCTAAATGCTCTGAGGTGCGAGTACGCCGGGAGGTTTGGGAAAGAGCAGAGCCAGCGTGGCTGCGACTCTCCAGTGAAGGAGATGAAGGGTAGGAGGAGATGAGTCCAAGAAGCGGAGAGTTGGGGGTTAGTGGAGTAGGGCCTTGCGGACCCCTGTGAGGACTTGGGCCTTTGCTATTGAGTGGAATGGTGTTGATGACAGGACAGGGTTTTGAGCAGAAGGGTCACTTTAGCTTCTGTGTTGAGAGTAGGCATCACAGGGACAGTGTGGAAGCAGAGACCAGAGAGTGAATGATTGCAGTCACCCAGGGGAGAGGTAGCAGCAGCTTGGACTGAGGTGGGAGCCACAGCAGTGATAAAGAGATGACTGAATCTTAAATACGTTACAGGAAGGTAGTCAACAGCTCGGGTGTGGGATGTGAGGGAAACACGAGTCACGGATTTTGGCCTAATCTCTTGGAAGTGTGGTATGGAGTTGCCTCTAAGAAGGGGAAGACTATGGCTAGAGCAGGTTTTAGGGAGGATTTTAGGAGTTCAGTTTTGACACATCAAGTATGAGGTGTTCATTAGACACCCGAGTGGAGACGTCGAGTTGTCAGAAACATGTACGGGTCCACACTGGAGATGCACGAAGGGAATTGTCAGAGTATAGTGGGATTCAAAGCAGTGAGATTGGATGATATCACAAGGAGTTTGGGATGTGGAATCGTACTACTAGATACCACCACTTATTAGCTGAGTGACTTTGGAAAAATCACTCAGCTTCCCTGTGACTCAGTCTCTCCATCTGTATAACAAGAAGAATAAGAAGAGTAACTACCTCACGGGGTTGTTGTGAGAATTAAAATGACTAATATCTGTGAAGCACTTAGAACATGGTATTTAGTCACGTTCAATAAGCATTAACTTAATGTTCATTACGACTATTCTGTATACCTGTGGGGCCTTGCAGATATATCCACTCATATTTTTATTAACGTAGCAACTCGGCTTTTCTTCCAGTGGTGTTATTATGTTTCTGGTTTGCAATTATTATTTGCTACTAGGAGTCCCACTGAGTTGGTTTTGCCTCCAGAATGAAACTGACCTGGATTTTTCATACTAGCTCTGCCTCAGCTGTTGATTTCTTTTTTAAAAAGCTTATATATATCTTATTATAGTATCTGTTACTTGTTCCGAAAAAAGTCTTACGTGTCTCTTCAGCGCTGCTTTCCTTGCTTTTCCCAGTGCTCAGCAGCGGAGCAGTCAGGTCCACAAGAAAACCACAATTGGAAATCAGGTAGGAATCACACAAGAGAATCGGTGCATGCCTGCTCCAAAGAATTTGAACTAAATCGCTTGATTGACGATTTTTTTAATGCAAATTAATCACGTGCAAATTTTGCTTGAAGTGCAGCTTTTCATTTTGTTTTGGTTTTGCTTTTAAAGTTTTTGGAGTGAATTTCATTTCTTTTTGGCTCTTTTATGCAGTTAACCATATTGATTTATTTTACATAACTTTTCTGCTACTTGCTCTGCATTTCAAACTTGACTCTTCATGTCCTATTTTGCTTGCTTACATTACTCCTAAATTGAATTTAACATTGAATCTGTGAGTCGGTTCAAGGTTAAAATTTGGTGAGTAGTTGCATGAGCTTTCGGGGCTGCTGACTAGTTCACACATTTGCACAGCTTGGTATCAGTGAAGGGACAGCTCACAAAGAAGGCAGTTGTTGGATTTAATCTCTGCCACACTAAATTCTGGTTGGTTAATGAAGATGTTAATTCCTAAGAAGATCTCATCTTTTAAGTTTTTATGTTTTTGGGCTGACCAGCTGTCTCTGACTAATAGCGCTCTGCAGAGATTGTATTAACTCGACAGTTTGCTGTTTCTTTTATGTTTTATGTGATAATGAATATTTGCATTGTTATTTCTTTTCAAGTCAAAACAATGATGGTTTTATAGTTTTTTAAAAAAAATGCAGAGGTACAATTATTGAACAAATTGAAACCTCTGCTCTAGATTTTTTTTTTCCATTGTTTTGAAAGGAGAAGAGGTAATAACAGACTTTATTTTAAAAACTTTTTTTCTGAACTAAAGCATATAATTCTTTGCTATTTCAGGGAACCAATCTTCCGCCTTCAAGGCAAATTGTACGAGCTAAGTTCTGTAAGCTTTACTGTTGCTTTTTCATTTAGCTTCCCCAGGGCACAGTTTGTCTTTAACTGATTAACTCAACTAGCGCTTGCTACTAATTTTTTTTAAACTTAGGTTGTCTTGTCCGTAACACCCTATCATTGAAATAAAAATCCTATTAAGAGGGTTCATCCCTTCACTGCTAATAACTTGCTGTGATTGAAAGGTATGAACTAGTAAACTCTAAAACGCTGTAATATTAAACCCTTAACACTGTGGGTGCTTTGATATTTCTCTAATTTTAATGGGCCTTAAAATAATTAAAATCATTAATGATCTTCATCTCTGTCCTTTTATGCTATGTTGTTATGAGGTATAAGCCTTTCTCTTCCCTTTGTGTGATAATATTTCCCAATAAGTGTAGATGATGCTTCTAAAAGGTGGGTGAATATTGAACATCTGATTTTGTTATATTTGTTGATAAGCCTAAGCAATTCCAATTATTTGTATTTATTTTTTAAAAAATAATGAAACAAGCAAAATTATACCGATCGACATTTTATATGGCTATTGACATTTTATGTTGGCTATCTTCTTTTTATGGAAGTGTAAAGACACCATCAAATAACTAGCAATAGGCTTTTAGAAAAAAATTACACTCTCATTTCTAGCATGGTTGAAGCAGGCTTATCCTTCTAACTATACACAAGTTAAAAATGAGATTGGAGCAGTGGTCAATTATTTGCCTCATGATGTTTTGGAAGACACGGTTTTTGGACCTTAGACATACCTGGGTTCAAATTCTGTTCTGCCACTTAGGAGTCATGTGGCCTTGGACAAATTGAGCCTGAGTTTGCTCAGGTGTATGATGGGAAGAATAGAAAATACCTCTGTAGGGTGATTATGGGAATCAGAAATAATATACATAATGAGGTTGATAGCCGAGTACCAGATATGCGTCCTGTAAAGAGTAGAAACCTTGTTCCCAGAAGGTAGGTGCTGCTTCTTGAAACTTTTGGGGGAAAAATGTTAAGTATAAGAAAATTATAAAAGTTATAAAATGAGAAAAATAAAACACTTGGGAAAATTGGAAGCTATGACAAATTGTTCTGATGCCTGCAATACCCAGATTGTGGCTGGGTGTGGTACAAAGGATTTACCTACAAAAGTTTCCTCCTGATCAGAAGCATCTGTAGCTCATAGAAGTATACACGCTATAGGAAAAGAAATAGTAAAATGGCATAAATGCATATTTTCAGCCAGAGGAAGCTCAGGGCAGCTTTCAATTATATTACTTCCAAATGATAAAATCATGCTAATTGTATTTTTCTGGGTACTTCAAAGCCCAGACATTATGGAAATTTTATAACTAAAGGTAATAGAATTGGGTGAGTGTTATAATAGAACGTAGATCCGTTATCCAAAATCCTTGGGGCCGTTTGGGGCCAGACATGCCTTGAAGGTAAGAATTTCTGGGATTTTAGAACAACAATACATGGACTATATCATGTATTACCCAATATTCCTGTGGGGCTAGAGGCAGCACCCTGTAATCAAACACATTCTATTTCTGCAGTGAAACAACTGAATAGTCACACCAAGTAGACTAAATGGAAGATATAAATCCTCTCATATTACGTCAAATTTTGCTGCCAAATTTGTTTAAAAAAAAAAAAAAGAAAAACACACAAAACAACAACAACAAATTTAAATTTGCAAGTAAGGGATTTTGAACCAGAATATATTATTTTCCAGAATCAAATTCAATAATTTATGCATGATACAATATATTTTAAGGGATCCTTTATTGTTATTCCTGCATAGTAGAAATGAATGATAATGACTTAAAAGCTTTTTCTTTATGAATTTGAATATCTGATGTTGATTCGGGTATATATAAAAACAGTTTTGCCTATTAAGAGGCTCTAGTCCAAGTGTTACCAAAAACTCGTCACTTGTCCACGAGGCTGAATCAGAAGAACGAGGACAAGTGTTTTGGGGAGGAGGAAAGAGATTACTTTGCCGGCAAGGGAAGAAAAATGGCAGACCTTCTTGTTTTAAAATCCGAATTTGCTGAACATAGGCAGAAATACAGAGCTTTTAAAGGGAGGGCCCCTCAGTTCTAGGCTATTGTGGTTAACTATTCTAATCATCCCATCTCTGCCAGAGACAAACTCTGTGAACTCTGCCAGCCACCCACTGGGGGGGCTGGCACCACCTGGGAGTTATCTCTTTTAACAAAGGACTTAACCTACCTCAGGGCTGCAGACCAGGCTGCGGTTCCCAAAAACAGTGGGGAAATTGTAAAGAGAGAAAAATTCTTTTTTTTTCCCCCCTCAGGTCCTTCCCTCTGTTACACAGGAAGTCTTAGAGCCCAGCACTCTGACCGATGCTGGCTTTTATGGTTGGTGGGGCCGAAATACCCTGCAGTATCCTAGCAAGTGGTTCATCCATTTCAATATTTTTTTTTTAGGACTCCTGATTTTAAGAGTTTACTATGCAGCATCTGTTCTGAAATATTTTAGAATGATTTCTGGAAAGCAAAATGTTTCCTTAAAGTCTAAATCCCATTTATTTTTGTCTGCCTAAAAATTTTAATAGTTCTGCAAATTAATGTCAACTAATGTACAAAAAAATGTGAGCCTACATTTTACCTAAAGTTGGACTGGTTAGAAATTTAAATTTAAATTTAAATTTCATTCCTCTCTCCAGTCATCAAACATGTATCTGAAACCTACATGTACCAAAATCTGTGGTAGGGTGTTCAGAGAGCTTCGCCCTCAGGGAGCTCACAGCCCAGCGGGGAGGATGGTTAGTAAGCAAACCGAAGTCTGCCCTCTTTTCCAAGGCTAGCTCCTCCTGACCCTGCAGGTCTCACTGAAACATCACTTCTGCAAAAGGCTGTCCCTGAGTGTCAGTTCTAAAATCACCCTCCCTCCCATTATCCATAGATAATATCTTGTACTATCTATTATATTTTATTATCTGAAATAATCTTGTTTATTATTTTTTGTCTTCACTAGGATCTAAGCTTCATTCAAGTTATTTTTGTGTTACTGAAAGCAGTGGAGTGTCATTATAAGGTTTTAAGCAAAATCATATTGACATTTTAGAAAGATCCTTCTGCCTGTAGAGTGGAGAAAGGCTTTGAAAGGGGGAGATAAGACTGGGAAGGACACTAGTTAGGAGGCTGTTGGGGATAAGAGATGATGGTGATCTGGGCTTGGGTATTTGTGCTGGATTTGAGGAAAAAGTGATGAATGTAAGAGATATTAAGAGGAATAATAAAAAAAAAAAAAACCCGTGAGCCGGATGTTGGGGAGAGGGCTGAGATTGTCTGCAATGCCATCCAGATTTCTGATTTAGGCACAGATAAGATGGTGGTGCTTATCACTGAGAAAGTCAGATTTGGATCCAGAGTCAGGAAAGGTAGCTTTTCGAGTGTGAAACACTGTGGAAGTTTGAAGTAAAAATGTCCAGTGGGAAGTTGGATAAAAATGTCTAGAGTCCAGAAGAGACAGAGAACTTTTTATTCCAAAGGTATTGGTCAGCCACGGAAGGATTTCCAACAGGGAAGGGATATCAACTGATTTCTGTGCTAGAAAGATCTGTCAGCCATATGGAGTGGGTTGGAGCAGTAAAACTAGAGATACGGAAATTGGTGAGGATGCTTAGGAAGGAATCCAGATGAGAAAATGTTGGTAGGAGCAGGTATGTAGGAGAAGGGACAGATTCAAAACATATTCAGGGGGTAGGATTTGAAGGGTTGTGAGTAGTTTTGTGGAGGGGAAGGTTAAGTCGTCCTTCCAGGCTTATGGCTAAGGGGACCCACTGACAAAGGAAGTGCAGGAGAAGGGGAAGCAAGTGTCAGCAGAGATGGGAGAAGAAGGTACTGATTTCAATTTGGGATATGTCGTGCTTGTTAGAGACATTAGGGTTTGAGGTTCAGGACTCATGTAGTCCAGAGATATAAGTTTCATAGTTGTCTACACACACACACACACACACACACACACACACACACACACACACACACACACACACACACACACACACACACACACACACACACACGCTGAAGCCATGGGAGTAGATGAGATCACTCCCAAAGGATGGAAGCATGGAAAGAAATATAGGATTCAAGGCATGCTAGAGAAAGAACT